TCCAAAACCTACATCAGAAAAGAATGTTATCAAACTATTTATACTGCTTCCAGAGGAAAACAAATTAAAAAAAACACCTAAATTAAATTAGCTTAAATAGCACGTTAAAGAAATAAACTTCGTCTGTAGAAAAGCATGCTCTGGCAGGTTTAGCTTCAAAACATCTAATAGAAATGAAGTAGCCTCCCGTATCAAGTTTCTCTAGAAACAAGAGGCAGATATCCAAAGAAAAGAATCTCATATATTATGTAAAGAAGTGTTTTTCAGCAACCAATTCCATAGGCAGCAGACCTGAAGAAAAAGATCAGTAATGGTGTTGTAATCAACCGGACAACCTCCCTCCATTTGAGACATCATTAATGCAAAATTACAAGCTCCGTGAAAGTAAAAAAGGTATAACTCGCCTCCATCTCAAAACATGGAAATAACAGAGATCCAATCCCATAAAAAATGTCTATGATATTATCAATGATTGATCGGCAAACAATAAATAATCTTCTAATTTTATCAGAATATTCATAAAATTGACTTAGAAAGGCTTTAATAAAGAGATTTGAACAGATTAATCCATTGTTCCAATGAATCGACATGCTCCAACACCTCGAATACTAAAGACTACAGAAAATAGAAACAAAACTGTAGATCTATACGAAGAATTGTTTGCAGAAGGAACAATTAGTCAGGACTGTACCCAACCTGAGAAAAGAGTTTATTCATGAATAGTTAATGAATATAGGATGGAAAAATATCACACATCATCACAACAAAAAGTGTCAATTTAAAAAATTGAGCCAAATCACCTGCTTTGAGTAAATCAAGATTTTGTCACTCTCTCTACGTTCAGCAAAAGCTGCTACAACTTTTGGGGTTGCCCTAGCTTTAATATATATTTTCAGCGCAAGATCATTATCCACTGTCTACAAAATAAGCAGGGCAGCAATAAGAATTAGGCAAATACAGAACAATAAAATTAGTCCTACTTTTTTGAAGTTGAAATTCAGATAAGAAATCAAGTATGATACTAACAGAATATAATTCCAATGAGTTCAAATCAAACCTTCACAAGGTCTCCAAGTTCCTCACTACAATTTATCTTCAGCTAACCAGTTTTCCAGAAGATTCTTCTTGTTTTGGTTTACCAAAAGCCGAGATAATTCCAATGACTCGAATGCATTGAGCTTCCCTCTTGTTAAAAGCGTACCAAAGTACTGCAACAGTGGTGGAGTTTGCCCAGCTTGAACAGGAACACTGCAGTTTTTGGGTAAAGGATCTGCCTCAGAAAAAATCAAAACAAATAATACAACCAATACCTGTATGACTAAGAGAAGAAAAAAATAGACCTGAAACTTGGCAACCGTATCAGGCGTACGAAGGATCCCTTGTGGAGACTCTGCGGCAAGCTCAGCAGCTTCTTTATACTTTGTCTGAGCAAACAATTCTTGAAAACGTTGGACAACCTGAGATATCCAAAACCAAAGAGTCAACATCCTAGCATACAAAAAAAAGAACACATTAATAAAAAATAGAGATCTGAATAAAACAACAGATATAATGAAAAACTTGTATGAAATATTACTGTTAAGAACAGGCAGCATCAGGATGTCAGACTTAGTCTACACATGCAATGCCAAAGGAAAGAACACAGCCAAAAAAACAGACACCAAGGTAAATAAAAAAAGCCTGTCAACAATCCCTGATTTGCAAGATTGAAGAATTGCAGCAAAGTTAATGAAATTCAAATCCAGAAATTTACCAAAAAAGTCTGTCACAGTTAAAAAAGATTTTTCCTTAAGATATCATTATCGGGCAACTAAATTCTACAGTTTATTTGCAGTATCAGGCTCTTACTTCTCAGTTATCCTCCCGATGCAAGGATTCTCACACCATATAAATTTACAAAAAATCAATCCACTTACCAAATTCTCTTCACCAGGAAGGTTTCCCCTTTTATCAAGATTGACAGCAAGCTCCAAATTGTTCAACTGAAGCAGAAAACAACCAGAATAAGTTGTAGGCCAATATGTCTCGCCTTAGAGATGCTAGAAAACAAAACGATAAAGGCACAACACATACTTGACCGCTTACAAATGGCACTATTGTTGCTTCATTTACAGTAGCCAACAACACCTGGCCTCGCCTATTGATGTCATAAAACCCACCCTGTGCTGAAGCTTCAGAGGTTAGAAATATCGGATCTGGACTAATTCTGTTTCTGTATACAGCAGATGCAGTCTCTAGATCATAAACAAACAGCAGCCCGAGCTTGGTGATAACGTAAATCAAGCCATATTTGTGGGACATCTGCCATTTAACATATACTTGTCTTATTGTCGGAACCACAATAAACAAATTAAAAGAAAATAAATCAAGATCTAGGATATTATTTACCTGCATCGCGACTGGAAAATCATCTTGAAAATCTGGTGGAAAAAATAGATCGGCCTGTTTCTTTGGAAGTGATGGCTTACCTGCCAAATTCGAAGATTAAAAATATAATAGACTGAAGGAAAAACGGAATAATTATATAGCTTCTATATTGATGCATAGACAATTCTTAAACATGACTCCATCAAAAATTCTAACTGAAAATAATCTTGACCATGATCTAGAGCTTAAATACATAAAATTCAAGAATTTCTGAGTTACCAAACAAATATTCCAGAAGTAGAGTCACAGCTAACTGAACTTCCCAAAATTCAAAATACTTTCTGATTGGGAAATGGCAAACAATTTTCTTTCCTAAATTTACTTTTCCAATTTTAATATTTAGTTAAAAGACATTCAATTTCCCATCTTAAATAACAATGAGATGGCAAAAGTGTAACAGACGGCCTGGCAAACTTACCTGGCTGAGCACCAAGCTGAATTACGTGCAACTTTGATGTAATCTGGACAGCATTAAAAGTCTTGGTGGCAAATGAAATAAGAATAGAAGAATTCTCATTTCCAGGAACCTGCTCAACATAAACAAGCATATACGATAAGGACCTTATTGAATCAGAGTCTATATAGTAAAGTACAGGAAATACACTTACCTTAAATTGAGCAAATGAAGCAGCATGTGCTTCAAGAGCTTGACTACACTGCAGGTCAACAGAAAAAAGTTGCATGTTCCCCTTAACCAATTGTGGCCTCTAAAAGAGACAAGCAAGATACACAATTCAAAATTAGAACCATATAGCAGAAGCAGAATGATTTTCTAAACAGAATTTCTTAACCAATAATTGATTATGCGAGGAACAATTGTAACAAAACGGATGAAAAAATTAAAGGAGACAAAATTAATAAGTAAAGATATTGAATTTCCTTTTCCATTAATGACTTTCATCACAGGAATTACAAGCTCTTCATGACTTGCATTTCAAGCATATTTCTTTTTGTCTTGTAGGACACGAATTGAAGCAACATCAGATATAGGAAGAAACTAACAATCACTCGGCAGCGCTGACAAAAGCTTCTGGAAAACTTAGCAAACAGGTGCAACTGTGCAAGTACACCCAACCAATCTGTCAATAAAAAGCTATGTTGCTTGGACTCTTCACCCTTTTTTTTCTTTAAGTATTCATGTCAAATGCATACACGTGGATATTTGGATATGACGCTTCAAATACATGCAAACTTAAAAAATTGAATAAACTCATTATGGTCAATACCCGTATAAGTCCTTCACTCCCAAGTCTGAGTAACATAGATAAAAAGTATTTACATAAAATTGTTAACTACAGCAAACATGGTAGTTCACAAAGTTATAAGTCAGGTCCTACCTGTTAATACGCACCAATACCATTTCTACATTCTAGGAGGCAAAAAGCAAGTAACAGATCAACAAGCAAAATGAGCCTATGTGTCAAATCGAGCAAGATTCTTCTGCATAAGTATTCCACGAAATATAAAAACTCTGATACACGAGTAAGTTATTGATCAACCAGAGTCTAACGGTCTAACCTAGCAATATAAAAGAAGTGGCAGTTAAAAACATTTTGGTATAATTACACAATTGGTCCACGTTGCTTATATATTCTTTCAATTTGTTTCTCATTTTAATAAATTAAAATAATAACGCGTGTCACTCTAGTTGAAAGAAAATAAACCAACACTAAAAGGGGACTGGAGGGATTCGAACAAAAAACCAAGTAAATCTATTAAATTAAAAAAATTAGTCCTCCAATCAAATGATGACACATGTTATTGTTATAATTTATTAAAATGATGATCAAATTGAAAGAATATATAAGTAACATGTACAATTGTATAATTATACCAAAATGCTTTTAACTTCCATGTCAATTGTTTTGTTAACTGTTAACGGTGGGTGGCTCGATTGAAACATTTAGATAGTTGGATAGTATGTTTGATCAAATTAAAATATTGATGGTTAAAATAATTTTTGATCGAGTTGAGTGGTCATTCGTGTAGTTTACCCAAAAATAAACAGAAGCTTTAGAGCCTGAAAGGCTGAAATTGCAAGTACTTGCTTGCAATCAAGCTCTGGGGGCTCACTCAATGGCCTGTTGGGTTTTAACGGAATGTGGCCTAATCAAATCATCCCTAATATTGGGTTCCAAGCTAATAGTTTCGGTTCGGAGTTATGCGAGAGGCGTAGGAGGGCTTACAAGCATTTGATTGTGAATACGGATGGATCAATGACATCCACCATGATATTGGAACTCGTTATACAATGCATCTTCTATTCTTCTTCTTACAAATCCCAGCCGCAAATATGGTGCTTTCATTGTCTGAAACAACACACTCAGCGTGGTCTTGTGGGGCGGAAGATGATCATTATGCCAATGTGTAAACGTGGAAAGAAAGCGCATTTTGCATTACCCTTTTTGTCACATTTAACTTTTAGAAAAAAAGAAAGTAAATCATTGAATATGCTGGAGACCATCCTACTCCTTCAGGGTGCGGTTTGACAAGATATTTGAAAGCTGCTACAGTTTGACCTAAAGGATTCATCATACTCTTTCAGATACTTGTAGAACAAGGTACTTGAATTACAAGGTAAATGTAAGAAATGGTTACTTCATACAAGGCAGGATCATATATCTAAAAACATCCACAAGTAATCAAACCAAGCCAAAAAAAAATACAAAAAGGGGTCCTTTTTGGTGGTCCCTTTTTGGTGGTGAAGAATAGATGTACCACACTAACACTTCACTACAGATTGATTATACATGGTAGAATACACGACCTAGCGACCTGGAACTGGAAGACGAGAAGATTGCCCCAAAAATCATGGGATTATGAAGCTATACTTATATTAATTGAGAATAATTTTAGGGGGAACACAAACTCCTAGTCCTAGTGTTTGCTCCTCAGAAGGGAGGCCCTCACAGGGAACAAGTTTCACGACGGTGTGAGCGTTGAGGTTGTTCTTTTTCTCAACTTCCGTGAATGCCTTGCTAAGAACTTGTTCCACCCAATCCCTAATCACCATCTTCTCATCAGATAAATATGCAACTGCCACTAGTTGTTTCATGGCTTTCGACTCTATCTCTAACAAACACTCTGCGTCTATCAACTTGCGGAAATTCTGGTTTATGTTGTCCCGTACTTCCTCTGCGAGTGCATCGAAATCAAATGGCTTGAATACCACATTTTTTATAGATTGATCAAAGAAATCCCGCAACCAACGCATGGGGCTCTCATCGACACAGTCTTTGTCGACAATGGCGTCATCAGTTTCATGCAATTCATTGTTTTCAGCAGGAATGTTCAAATCTAGATTCAAAGGTGATGTTCGGTTGACCCGTTTATTAATTTCCATCTCATGCTGCTCCAGAGTTTCATGGGAGCCAATCAGCTTTCTTTTATTCAAAAACCCCTGCTTAGAGGTGCTATTCCTTGTAATTATTTTGTCATCATGCTTGATCACTATCTGCAGTGGCCGACCCTTGGCTCTCAATATTTTATCCTCGGAATAGTTAGATGCTTGTTTTTTATGACAAACAACTTGATTTTCCTTGGTTAATGTTGAAGTCGTCACGAATATCGCATTGCTTGTGCTGACTTCTCTTCCTCGTGAGTCCGAAAACTTACCGATTCGGATAGCTTGGGACAAGCAGCTCTGAACCTGAACATCAGCTTTATCTACATTTTCAAGGAAGACAACAGACAAGGGCTTTCTGCTCAACTCTTCAGCAATATAGTCAACCACAGTCTTCCCTCGGAACCTTAAATCATTATTCACTTCCTGGGAATTGAAGATCAACTGCATACTGGTCGCCGCCCCATCTTGGGAACTTAGATCAATGCAGATGAAATTTTCTCCGCTTCCATATATTATGTCTGCGAGTGCAAGGGCAATTTTCCTTTTGCCACATTTATCAGGTCCAGAGAAATTCAACCAAATATCACCTCTTCGACTGGCTCCATGACATTTTCCATTTCTTGCACAGCGGTCGGCTACAGTTTGGCAAATAACACTTGCAGCTTCAGGTTGCCATCCAACTCTTTCGGTGACAGCTTTAAAAAGCGTCTTGAAATTGCTTAGGTGAAGCTTTCCACCAAAGTCAGGGGAGGAAGAGGATGAGAACTGAGATGGATGGCTAGAGACAGTCCCATTAATAGCATCAAAATTTTCAGGGAGGCAACCTGGATGGTCTCGGTTTGAAGGATTCATCAATGTATTGCCCGAGAAACCCGAACATAAACCCAACCCTAAATCAGTTTTCACAGAAACCACAGATGTAGATGACGCTTGAGTAGTATCACCCACACTTGAATTGGACAAACTGCAAGGGGATATGGGTTCAATTGCTTTGCAAACATCTCCCTTGGAAGGTTTTCCCCCTAGTTTGGGCAGGAAACTTCCATTTTCAGCCTTGGATACTACAGGTGAAGGATTGTTTGATAGTGATGTAGACATGTTTTGAAAATCAAGAGGCGAGCATGAAGTTGCATTTATGCAATTATTTTCACCATCCAGTGCATTTCTGCTGTCGTCGCTACCATGACTGTGAACATTTTCCTTCTTGTCTTGGATGAAATGAAAGTCAAGAACAGTTGGGAATGGAGGATTTTCTCGAAAAGTGTTCGACTCGGGGCCTGGATGAGTGCGATGAAGGCGCTGGCAAATATTGTCCCACTTCTTCTGCAGTCCTGCTACCATAGTGTTCAATAACTGCCCATCTTTGGCCTGCACTAAAGCGAGACAAACTTGTTTTCACGTAAATTTCATAAATTATCCAAAATAAACTGATTTTTTATCGACAGCGTTGAAACGTAACACGCAATCCAATTATTTTAAAACCAGTATAAGCAGTAAAGGTCATCTGGTATATGTTATATAATTGGGAACGGAAGAAATACGAGCACACGAAGCATAAACTAACAGACACACACCTTTGAGTCTGATCCCTTGGTCGCACCAACCTCCGTCATCTGCAACCAAGCAGGCAAAGTAGATCGGCACTGATCCGCCACGGAAACATTAAATCCTCCCTTGGAAATGGCATTTACTTCTTGCTCACACCTCTCGTTGCATAGATGACAGCGGGGTACATATGAGCTTCTTATGGACCCCTTCGACTCGGAAGGTATAGAGAAGAACCCACCAAATAGAACAAATGACTCCATCAAGCTGTACTTGATATAAACTACGAGATCAGGGTTGGATTTAATACCAAGATGGTAAGAATAAATTACACATGGAAACAAATAAAAGTGATTCATCCAATAAACATGCCACGCCAATATAAAAGATATAAAATACAATATCCATGAAAATTGATAATTTATTTATATACCTGGACTTTGAGTAAGGCTGAACCAATGAATTCTTAACAGAAGTGATGGGCAAAATCTGCAAATCCCAATCTTTTTCAACGGAAGGAAACCTAGTTAAGAATTTCAAATATGTCCGGTAACTCGTTGCAGCTCCCAACAACCAGACTTTACCTCCATGAAACTGTAATAACCTCGTTAACTGTCCAACTACATAACTAACTCCATCTTCCTCATCGACAAACTTGTCATCATTAGCGTCTTCTTCGTCTTTTTCACTCTTGCCACTAACAAAGATTTTCAAATCTCCATAGTTCACCACCACCCCGGATCCGGATCCGGATCCTTCCATTTGCCGACCCATTTCTTCAAATTTTGAATCCGTCTCCCCTTTAGTAAAACCTTCATTAATGCACTGCAAGATACAATTTTGGATGCAAATTATGTTTAACCCCGGAATTTCTTTAGACAGAAACCGTTTGTTTTTTCTCCAAAGATTCCGTAAAACTCGCGAGTGCATAATTTGCACATACACCGACAAGTAGCGGATTCCTCCCTCGCGTCAAAATTTCTCCTATTCTCCTACAGTTTTCTTCTCCTCCGTAAAACGATGCAAAACCCGGGAACGGGAAATTGAATCCCCGATGACCTGGGATCCGGGTGTTTTCGTGAGCCGAATCTGTTTCTTCTAGATTGCAAAGAAAAACCGGTGGTCCACTAGGTCGGGAGCATCTTAAGAGACTAGGGAGGGGGCGGATGATTGCCAGCTTGATTTCGGAGCTCCGAAAACCCGCCTCGCCGAAGACCCGACTCACAATTGGGTCGTCGAGGATGGATAAAATCAAGTATTGGAGTTCCACTTTGACGCATGAGATATTATTGGAAGGAATTTGCAGCGACATATCGCGATAAAGGTGGAAATTTTCGGGCTGCCTTCGCTGGTTCGCCTGAGACCGCTTTATCGCGGCCATGAGCGAGTTAGAGACGGGCGGGTCGTTGCTGAGTTGACTCGAGGGGACTCGGTCCAGTGACACGCTAAGGCAAAGCTCCAACGCCTTGAATTGGAGGCGAGGGGAGTAAGCCGCGTTACGGGCACGGGCACAGGCGTCGCGTAGTGGGGAAGAAGGGAGAGATAGAAGAGCGGAAACGACATGGAGCGACGTCGTTTGCGCGTGTCCCCTTCGTCGCGCGACTCTCACCGCCTCGTCTAGCACGTGAGCTGCCTCAGGCGTTAAGCATTGCCGCCCTACACTTACCGACGTAGGCATCGCCGGATATCATAAAAACAAAAGCTTTTCTTAAAATTTAAAACTAAAAAAATATATATGTTTATTCGTTTATCAGAACTACAAGAGAGTGATTTTTATAAGAGAAAATAACTTTGATTAAAAATGTTTTATAATATACAATTTTAATTAATTTTTTTTAGATTTGTTAAAATGATCAACTAAATCGTAATGCGATCGATAATTCATAACACGATCTCCGGTATCGTAAATCAGTTTTCAGATTCGCAACGCGAACTTTGACTATCAATTGCGATAGTCAAAGTTCGCGTTGCGAATCTGGAAACTGATTTACGATAGTCGAAGTTCGCATTGCGATTTATTCTAAATTCGTTGCGATTTATTCCAAATTCGTTGCGATAGTCGAAGCTCGCGTTACGATAGTCGAAGTTCGTGTTGCGATTTATTCTAAATTCGTTGCGATAGTCTAAAATCGCAACGACTGGTGGTATTGCATTTATTTATTAAGAATTTTCTCTAAAAAGATAGTATTCGCGCGGACGTGTCGAAGACACGTATTACTACGACCACGAATTTGGAATAAATCGCAACGAATTTGTAATAAATCGCAACGCGAACTTCGACTATCGCAACGAATTTGAAAAATCGCAACGCGAACTTGGACTATCGCAACGAATTTGGAATAAATCGCAACGCGAACTTCGACTATCGCAACGAACTTGGAATAAATCGCAACGCGAACTTCGACTATTGCAATGCGAACTTGGACTATCGCAACGAATTTGGAATAAATCGCAACGCGAACTTCGACTATCACAACGAATTTAGAAAATCGCAACGCGAACTTCGACTATCGCAACGTGAATTTGGACTATCGCAATGCGAATATGTAAATCGCAATGCAATAGTCGAAGTTCGCGTTGCGAATCTGGAAACTGATTTGCGATACCGGAGATCGCGTTACGAATTATTGATCGCATTGCGATTTAGTTGGTCATTTTGACAAATCTAAAAAAAATTAATTAAAATCGTATATTATAAGATATTTTTAGTCACTAAAGTTATTTTCTCTTTTTATAAATGATTAAGTGCACCAATCGACTCTAAACAATATCATTTGTATCGAATTTTCCTTTAAACAAATTTTCCTTTAAAATATATTTTGGGATATTTTATATCCTTAATTATAAATAGTTACTTTATTTATTCTAATTGTTAACATCCTTAAAACATTCGGACCAATCAGAACACGCTATATTACCATTTTTTCATATTTTATTTTCTTTAAAATCATAAATAAAGAAAAGAAAAGATTTTTTATTAATAAAAAAGGTTGAAATAAAACTCTTGAACCGATTTACTTCACATTTTCTTCAATAGACTGTCTCATCCTCTTCTTCTTTGTTTCAATGATTCTCTTTCTCACTTCTCACTTAACAATCGATTTTCTTTTCTTTCTCTTATTTTTTAACAATCGATTAAGTTTCTTTAGTTGATTTTTACAATGAAGGAGATTAGTTTAATGAAACTTTCTTGATCATGGTGAATGTTTAAAACCCTAAATCAAACATTTGGTTGGCGAAAGAAAGGTAAGTTCTTAAAATTTTTTAATTTTTTGTTTTTGATGAAGTTTTCTTATGATTTATACGGATTAAAACTCTAGATTGATGAAGTTATTTTTTTTTGATCGAAAAATTGAAGGTTTTAATATGTTCCATTAATCGGCTCTTTTCAGAGTTGAAGATAAAGCCAAGCTAGTAAAGTACAAGATTCTCATTGACAAACAAAGACAAAACAAAAAGTTAATATTTCTTAAGATTTTCTACATATTTATGTTTATTATTTTAATATTATTTAAAATGTTCCCATGTGTAAAGTATCATGTTTCCTGTTTTCGGTGCATATGCATTTGATATGTTCATTATCTTAAGATTCATGTTTAAATTGTTCATTATTTAGAGAAAATTACTTAGATGGAGTATACTTTGGTAATTCATTTTAAGGAACTTCACTTGAAAATCTAAGCTGAAATGTTGAGGGCAAAGAGGTTGAAAGAAAAATTGATTCTAACTATTTATGTTATTCTATTATCATTGCTTTTGTTGATGATGCAGTGTGTCCAACAAACTAAATAGTTTATATAACGTATTTAGAATCAAGTTGTAGTTTAGATAGAAATTTGAGGACATTAGATTATGATAATGCAAGTTATTTAAATCTGATTCATTATTTAAGTAATAAAGGAAATGTACACATATATGTTAACTATGGGTTAGTGTTGGAAAATATAGATTTTGTAGGTGATGATGGTGGGTCAGTTGAAGGTGGGCTAGTTGAAGATTGATTGATTATTGGTGGGCCAACTGATGATAATGTCGATGGTCTAAATGTGCAAGTTGGGAAAGAGTGCATTAATATAGGTGATGTTAATATGGTGGTAGATGAAGAAGATACTAAAGATGAAAGTGACTCGATTTATGATCAACTTAAAACAGAGTCTGAATACGAAGATCTAAGGGGTGAAGTAGTGCTCAATGATGATCATGATGAAGAAATAACATATATTTTTTCAGAATGCAAGAAAATTTAAAGAAAGAAGAAAAGTTGAAATCGCGAGGGATGAGAATTTAAGACGAAATCAAAACAATGGGTTTTATAGGGTTGAAGAAAGGAAAGGAAATGGAGATGACATTGATTACTTACCATTTGATGATGTTGGTAGCTACAAAATAGATACTGATGGTGAACTTATTATAAAGGTAAGAAAACATTTTTTTTGTGAGAATAGTGAACCTAGATTTGAGTTGGGTATTATTTTTTAAAGTCACAAGCAATTTAAGGAGGTATTAGGGTCTTATGCAGTAGCTAACAGATTTGATTATAGGTATATTAGGAACGAATAGGATAAGATTAGAGTAAGTTGTGAGCAGAGATTCAAATAGCAGAACGCAACCGCAATAGCGTCCGCTATTTCGCGGTAGCGCCGCCGTCCGAAACCAATATTCAAGAAAATTGCGGTGGGTAGCGGAATCATAACAATAATGGTCTGTTGCGGCCGCAATTTAACGTTTAACGGTAAATAGCGTCAATAATGGGACACTATTCCCGTTATTAAACCGTGACTTGAAAAAAAAACACAGAACATGTAAAAAATGGTAGCAAAAGCTAATTGAAAATAAAGAAAAACAAAACAAAAAATTCTGCAAAATTAGTACAAAAGAAAGAAATCCAAAGTTCCAAACAAAAAGTTTTGTAAACTAAAAAAAACAAACAAAGAGCAATTGAGCAAGCAAGACTCACCATTCACCAAGACAAAGACCAAATCGGGAAGGGAACAAGGCTAGAAGAAGTTGACCAGACCAAGAACAAAGATTTGACTTTCATTTGACAAGGTAAGAAATCCCTAGATCTAAGTTCAGAAGAATTAGAAAAAAATCAGAACGCAAAAAAGAAGAAAAAAAACAGTAAGACGATAAGTTATAAATATAAGAAAAAAAAATAGAAATAGTAGATGTAGATCAAATAGAAAATGCAAAACAGAGAAAAGAAATGAATAAGAAAAGTGGAAGAAGGAAGATGGGGTTTAAGAGAAGACTGTTCCAAACCCAAATCACATCTAGATTTTTTAGAATAAACCAAAAAAATTAATATAAAAAACTAAAATATATATGTCATATGTGTCAATAAAAAGGGAGAAATAGAGCTTTTTAATTATTTTAAATAATTTCTAGGATATATTTTTAAGGAATATGTTAATTTGTTATCCTTCCACCTTTAAAAATTTATAATTTAATCCTTATTTTAAAATGTAAACTTTAATTTTTATTTATTTAATCCTAATTGGTGAAACTATTACTACCCCATTTCTAAGGTATGTGTTGTTTTTCTTGCTTATATTGTTGATATATATTATTAATTTATATGCCATTTTTCGTTTAAAAAGCATTCTAAACGCCATTAAAAATAACTCATTAACATTATAACTATAATTATTATGTTTTAGGATATATTGTGTGAAATTTAAAAAAATTCACGACCGCGATACCCGCAGTGACCGCGATGGCATCCGTTATGTCTGCAACCGCGATAAACGCGACGCGACCGCTATTTAAATCCCTGGTTGTAAGGGTGTGGGTGTCCTTTCATGATTTATCTTGGAAAAAATGATGGTGTTTATAAGGTTAAAAACACTAGTGAGTGAAGATTATTGCTCTATTATATTTATGAATAATAGGGTAAAGTATAGATATGTTGGGAAATATTTTATTAGTAAACTGAGGATAATGTCCAACATAAAGTTAAAAGACATGCAAAGACTTGTTAAAGAAGAGCTGAGAGTATATCTTACCAAGAATGTTTGTTGTAGAGTTAGGAAGTGAGCTACAGAACAGATAAGAGATAAGTTAGGGCATGGATTTAATAGATTATTCGATTATGAATTTGCATTGAGACAAGCAGACCCCACTGGTACATTTGATCTGGAAGTTGAGAGGCATACTCCATCTGAAAGAGAGCGCATTAATAAGTTTGATGCAGTGATATCCCAAAATTGGTCCATGGCTTTTTTTGTAACACATTCTAAATGCGACTCTGTTGATAACAATTTTGGTGAGGCATTTGATTCAACAATACTTCATGCAACATATAAAACTTCAATTTTTTTATTTAAGGACATTAGACACTATGTGATGAATAAAAATCGTTCACACAAACTTAGGTGTAAAAAATAAGAGCAATTTTTTGTACTAAAATTTGTAAAGTTGTTGAACAACATAAAACAACTAGTGTGTATTGTCATGTAACATGGAATGAACAATATGGTTATGAAGTATTGAGTAAATGGGAAATATATGTTGTGGATGTTAAGGGCTAAAATTGTGCATGCATATAATGAGATTTGACAGGTATTCCATATCCACATGCAATATGTGTTATCTTATATAAAAATGAATCTATTAAATCATATGTGGTTGATGCATACAAAAAAGAAACATAACAGTTATTATACAAATATGTTCTGTCAACACTTTATAGTGGGTATTTTTTGAGGAAAATAAA